TGTTTATCTTTTGGAGCCTAAAGGCGGGTACTAATATAAACTAATAAGCATAACTTAATTCTGAATTTCAGTTTCCATGGTTTAAATTTAATAAGAATTTAAGACCTTAATTGGATTTTATAACGCCTGAACTGATCTGAGATCATTAATAACTTGTGTTGATAGTAATACTTGCTTAACTTAGGTAAACGCAAGTGATTGCCAATTTCACGGAACATATCCCATTATGGTGTAGATACGAGTACACTTTTGCGCGAAACCATGTCATTTAGAAAATCGTTCTATTTTTATTCCGCTACACAAAACGGAGATGTGTTATCATGGGTTTAACATAGATCATATCATTTATCTATCTATCAATTATACTTAGTAACTGTTATAGATTTTTGGAGGTTATAGTTACGAGTATGGAGGATTGTCAGTGTATGTAAAATTAATTTCGCAATTGACAAATAATGCCCTAATCCTCTATTGAGTTACAATATATAAAGGTCTAAAATATTAGAAAATTACCCAAAATTAATGTACATGTAGATATCTTCTGAAGTATGTGTAATACACATTTCAGTAACTTTTTCAATAAATTTTCTTCAACCTTAAAACCCCATGTTTATTATTCCTTAGTGCTTTACTAAATAACAAATAATACGACGACTCTTTTTACACACATACATATAATACATTTGCAAGTTGCATTTTTGCTTATTCTATTTCAAATATTTAGATATATTTATACTACTAAATGTTAATATTCTAGTCCTTGTGTAATTATAAATCATCATTAGAGAATCTTCATTACTCGCTTTAGGACCAAAATTACAGATACAAATCTGTTGAAGTCAATATTACGTGCAAAGGAGTTATTGAATTTATTGTCTAATAACTTCAATAACGGCTAGACATATCATAGAAGATTCCAATTTTATATGTGTTTTACTTGAATACTCTGTTTACCATTCAACAATAACCCTTTTGGTCGTATTGATTTTATGTTCTGTATCAATTTACAGAGTGGGCTCAATATCTTTGGTGGTGTTCGACACGCAACACGTTACTGTTCAACGAGCCTGGTAAGCTGTCACCATTGAATATAACTGCTTTTAACTTGCTTTGTGTAGTAGATCAATCAAACTAATTACAAATGTTATGCGTATAAATTAATCATAGTTATCTTTCAGCACTCTACGGTTCAGTACTTTTACCTAAATTTACCTTTAGTCAACCGTTTTTCTTTCATATTGTTAAGCAGCAACTGATGAGCGTTACTGCTATCAATAAAATAGTGATGGTGTAACTAATAAAATACACTTTAAGGTAAACCGAATAAAAAAGAAAACATTTCTTCGACTTCGTACAAGCTTTATCACTTGTGATCACACAGATTTTACTTGTAATAATGCTGTTAAAGTAAGTAGAGTGCTTAGCCTATCCATTACATATCTTTTTGATTAACATAATGGATGTTGGACTGAATAAATTATCTGTAACAGCCTTGCTTGTGTGTATTTTGACAGTACTGGCGAGAGCTTTTAGAAAGCTAAACGTCACCAAAAGTAAGAACGTATAACATAAGAAAGTATAACATAAATTTAGAGACGCATTTATAGTTCTAAACGTTAAAAATAAAATAAAATAAATAAAATAAACTAATAAAATAACGACAGCAACAGACACGGCTAAGTTTGAAAAGTTTCCAGCTTAAGAGCTTGTGTTATCCAATTTTCATTTGCATTGCAAAGAGACATGGCTTCATAATATGTTTCACCTATTCTCAAGAATACTCTGCAGTAAAGCAATTCGGAAGCGCGAACGATACCACTAGATAAATTTAGTTTTTTCTCTCTTACCCTTCAGAGTCCCTTTTGATTGAGCCTCTTAATGACAACCTGCGACATAAACGTGTATTTGATAATTCATAATAAGTAAGTCAATGTTGCTTATAGAGCATTTACTTATTATACATACTGTGTGGCGGAATTTTACTAACACCTGGTTTCTCAAAGGCAGATGAAACTTTAATCAACAAACAGCTAACTAATGTATGTATCAATTCAATTTAACTTAGAATTCAATTGAACTTTAAAATGGCAATTGACATTATATTTTCAGTTAAATTTGACAGACCTTTGAATTGACCCGGTGATCAAATCAAAGTCATTAGTATTGTTTTCTATGCTACACTGTATTATTGGCAAGATACATAAGGCAATTAAATTTCTGCGCTGAAGAGTCTTCAATTCGAACGTCAATATCTGTAATTGTAATTAAAATTCTAACATATTAATTGAGAGATTTACGAATTGCTGGCTGCACCCTACCCAACTCCGATGAGGCACATTGTGGTTGCATTGATGAGAAAAGAGGAACAAAGCTGACGCGAGAGATTGATAAAAACGAACCTTAAAGCAAGTTGTATATCGCGTCAAAAATTGAGATCAATTGGTGCAGAACTTATAGGGTTTTCGAAGCGTACACAAACCAACTTAATATTTTTATATAAATAGATAAGCAAATAAAAGTCCTAAGATGTCATAAATATGTAATTGATAAACAAAAGTAGATTTATAAAAACACTTAAGTTAATAAAATTCACTTACTAATTTGTAAGTCCCTAAATGTCTTGTAAATTAATTTCTAAATATAATATTTATTACTGTATCAAAAACAAATTCAGCTTGCTTTTTTCCTTTATTTTAGTATTCCCGTTTTCTTTTTTTTTTCATAACTTTAAAAGTAAGTATATTGCGTATATAATTCAAAATAAGGGTTATACTGTAGTACTTTTTCATTAATATAATCTATTAATTGGCTTAATCAATAATTTAATAATTCATTCAAACTAGTAATAAACATTGAAAGCCATAGTTATTTAAATTGATTGTAAAATAGTAGTGTATTTTTAAGATGAATTACCCATTATATTACCCAAAAAATTAAGCTCTGATACTGATGAAATGTCGGTTTCAGCATAGGCTGGTGTACATATTTATGACCTAAGTAAGAAAATTTCGACGAATAAATTTTCAGAAATACATTGTCCTTAAATTAATAAACAACTAGTTGTTTGTTTCGAAAGGATGTTACATATATAACGCAAAAACATATATATGTAAATATATTCACAAAATTAAAATTTCTATTTTCACCTAGAACAACAGACAATGTTTCAAGTAAATTTAGTGCTCTTTTCAAAATTAAATGTACAATTAATCAAAAATTTCACTGATGAAACCAGGACGGATTGTTAAATATAATAATAATAATACATCGCAGTCCCCGACGAACACTATGGTAATCGCTATTACGATAGAATCGGGTTTATTAAATATTCGTTATCTACACACCCTATTACATTAATTGAGATTTTTTTATGATCGGGCGATGAATACTTTTGGATTTATCGCTTCAATAATGATCTTTATGTTTTTGTTCAACGTATAACATAAGTGAAAAATTTACACGATCAATAACGCAAAAACCTATTACCAAATCTCAAAAGTCAACATTGTAGGGTAAGCGGCTATTACCATATTGTTCGAGGGAAAAATGAGAGATTCTTATTAGTGGAAAGAGTTGGTTAAACGACACCCAAGGCCGAAAAATTCAGTGGCCGAAATTGATGGAGGTGAGAGTTTCTCATTTGAAACCAACAATTTTACAGTATAAGTATGACTTCGACAATGATTCATTCGAGTTGGATATAAAACTTCAACTAAACAAACCCAAACGAGGACGGAAATCCGTCCCTGGCCAGGTTGATGTACAAACACTCAAAAATGTTTACAGCCACCCTTTACCTATCACCAAGGCTCTGTTTGCTGACCTGAAGTCTTTGTGTGAAAGTGAGGCCATCCCTAAATGTTATCACAGTTTTTATAGTAATTTAAATTATGCAAATATCAATATTATACCTGAAGAACAACAAGAAGATATAGATAAAAATTAAATTCAGTAATTTTTTTGTTTTAATTTTTGTTTCATATTATAATAATAAAAAATTGATAATTTTTGCGTTTAATTTGTCGCCATTAAATAGTAAATTTATGATCAACTAGCGTGTGCCCGCGACTTCATCCGCATGGAATAGTGACTTTGGGTACCATTTTAGTGAATCCCAAGCAATGACGATCCTTTCATACGACATTTCAACCCCTTACAACCCTTTTTTGCATTTAAAAATAGTATATGTCCTTCCTCAGGCTCTAGTGTATCTGTGTACTAATTTAATGTAAATCGGTGCAGTACTATTAGCGTGAAAGCTACACAGACAGACAAAGTTACTTTCGCATTTATAATATTAGTAAGGATTGTGTCTTGACCAATAAAATTGAAAACTCGCTAGATTATAAGCTGACAATATTTAGGTTCAATTTACAGTGCTACAAATAACCCTGTAAAATTAATACAATATGCATCAAAACATAAATAGATAAATAATGACAAATTTAAAGTAATACACATAAAAACTTTATTTATACATAGGTACCGAAATGGTTAATTTTGCTGCTTACCTTTCATAACACCTAAAAATGATCATCGAATAAGCATGTAATTTATGTTTACCGTAATATTAAAGTCAGTTATATCATCGAATACGATCGCAATGTCATTTTACGAATAGAAAGTATATTCATATTTACCATGGAACAATATCATAATGAACGATTATTACAGCAACACCGATTTGTGATTACAGTCGAACACTATCGTAAAGTTAGTTTGCTTTAATTTTTTCCATAGCTTATTTCAGTAATGGACATTTTCACAATTTTCTTACTGATAAAAATTTAGTAAAAATCTAGTGCAAAAAAATATTCCCTATTTTTGATAAAAGAATCTTTTTTTTAGTCTTGATAGTATTCAAGATATTCAGTTTTTATTTGCTCCTGTAAAATTGTCATTTTCCTATTACGGTTTTGTTCGTCGGGGACTGCGACATATTACGTCACGCTATGTTACATACCAAGATCAGACCTTACTGCTTTGTAAAATATTTTCCGTTACCTGTCAAAATCTACAAAGCCCAAAGGATGTACGGATTTATAAGCAATTCTAGTTGGCTGCGATGTTTTAGGAATGATAGATTGTCGCCGACGTGCGTGGCTTACTGGTACATCGTCATCTTCGGCTCGGGCGCCCGGCATTATTGAAAAGCGTCTGTATACAAATTAAGTTGTATTAATTCATTAATTCTTAATGGTGACAAAGAATACAAAATAAATATTAACTTTTACGAAATATTGTACTGAAAAATCACAGATTACATAAACATTTTACGTATTATTTTTAAGGTTTGGCCAAACAAGCAGACGGGACACCAGTTTTAAATGACTTCCGCCACCCAGGGACAGCTGCAACTCAAGAGTCACAAAGTATCAGGGTATTGGGGCTCTCGTAATGTCTTTCGCACTCGGTAAAAAGAAACGGAAAAATACTAAGCACGGGTTTTCCGTGAAGCTGTGTTATCACTTCGGTCGAACCGGCCCTTTTATTTTGTGCCTAAGGATGGCTCTCCCATGGTATTTTTTTTTAAAGTGAAAACTTCTTTAGGCGCGTTGGGCATCTTTGAACAACAAACAAAAGAATGTATTTTTTGAGATGGGAAAAAATCATTGAACTTGTGACACTGTTATCGTTACCGACACCTCTGTATATATACGTATATTGGCCATGTTTACACGAGAGTTGAGTTTGGGTTGAAATACATTGATAATATATAATATAAACATATGTTGTGTATACTTATATGTACAACATAGACATATATTCATTTTGAATCGAAAAAATAAAAAAAACCTGTTATAATAAAAAAAAAACAAGTTTTCACTTCTGTCGGTATTCCCGGAATGACACTGTTTTTATTTTTTTATAAATGTTATTTTATAACAGTTCGTTAACCTACTCTTATATGATTACGTAATTACCTACGTTTAACTTATTTAGACAGTATAAACTATTATAAAAAACAAATGAAATTCTTAATGGTAACCTGGCAGCTGGAATTAGGGACATTCGTCTGAAAAGGTATCTCGCTGCTGATTTTAGATCATCGTCTTGCATGAGGTCAACTAGATCCTTCTGCCGTTTCTCAAGACACGCATCTGTGGTTGCGACTATCTCGCCTTCGACTGATACATTAACACACTGAAAGACATGTTTTTAATGAGACTTCGTTACGTTGTACTAAATTCATGGGTAGAATTTAATTACCATTTTAAGTGAATATGGTATACATACATAATTTATGTATGTATGGTATACATATGTGTGTATACACATGATATAAATTACATTACAGTTACAGATATTTAATTAAAAAATTTGCTTGGGATGGATGCTGCTCACTCCCACATTTGAAAGAAATGATTATTTAATTGTTTGTTGTAATTCGTATTTCGTTTGTTTTCAATTCGTTTATTTATTCGTTGAAATTGAATTGTATAGTATTTTTTGGAAGTATGTAATTGTGAGTATAGTGTGGGCTTTTAATGTTATTTCATATTTTAAATACTTTCTGGTGGTTTTGAGTGTTTTCACGGCCTACTCAAGTGTCCTGCAGGCGGTATGCCGGGCTGTTGATCCTGACTATATCGATTAGGCTACATAATGGCTGGGGGCTCGTATGCCTTCTGTATGGATGGGCTGACACAAAACTATGGTCCTTTCTTCAAAAGGCCAAGCCAGACCATATACAGCACTCACATAGTTCTCTTTAACATTGTTCACGGACTTAGAAAAAAAACACCTCTGTCGTTTGTTTCGGCATTTCTTCCTTGAGTGAGTCCTAGGAAACGCCGGTGCCTTCTAGCTGTAAAGTCCGACATGTAAAAATATCTGAAAAGATTTACTTGCAGAAATATACATCATATTACCATTTAAATTTGTAGAAGAAAGTAGTTGAAATCCTTTGCTGAGTGTAAAAAAATAACAGTACTTATTACATAATTAAAAATAATACTTTCTCCAGAAAAAAATCTTAAGATATTATTTAAAAATGAATCTTAAGAAAGTCTTACTCAGTTTAAACTAATCTTAGTAACAAACATAGTTTTATCCACTCTTGTTAAAGATAACAAGAGTGGATAAAACTATGTTTGTTTAAATAGAATAAAAGTTCATCTCATCCTTCATAACACTAACTTTTGGAACTTTATCAAAAACTTAAAGAACAATTTAATTTACTAAATATGTTTTCTATAAGATTAAGACTCTTATGCTAAGAGTATGAAGTTCCTAAAACACTTAGAAACTTTTTGAAGTGCTACAAAGCTTGCCAAGATTATATTATTTTTTGTTACTTACTTTAGATCACCTAAAGGATGTCTCAGTGAGAGTGCAAATTTTCATTTTAAAATAGAAAACGTATTTTATAAAAAAGTTGTGATATTTGTGAGTTGAGTTTTTTATTGGATTGTGAAGAAGACATGTTCCGATTGAATACTTAATTCAATAAAATATCCGACAAATGGCTCTGATGACAGGCCATTACTCTTTTCATGAAATTTTCGACGACTTATACACAGAGATGTGGCTGTATCTGACCGATGACGCGTTGGATCTCTGATTTGAGCTCAGGAGTTTTTTCTGGTTAATTCGCACAACTCAGAGATTTCACAAAACCCCAAAGAAAAAAATCGCACGGCGTTAAATCGAACGATCGTGGTGGCCAGTTGACATCAGAATTTCATTAAATTATGTGTTCTAGAAATTGTTGCTGCAGTAAGTCGATGGTTTCATATGCGGCGTGGCAGGTGGCGCCGTCCCGCTGAAACTACATGTTTTCCAAATCCATGCCGTCTAGTTGAGGCCACAAGAACTCCGATATCATATTCCTGTAACGAATGCCGTTCACAGTAACTGCAATATCAGCCTCATCTTCAAAAAAGTAAGGTCCAATAATGCTGCCTGACCGAAATCCGCACCAGACAGTTGCTCGTTGTGGGTGCATTTGTTTCTCATGGATTGCATGAGGATTTTCTGAGCCCCAAATTCGTTAATTTTGTGTATTCACGTAGCCATTCAGATGGAAATGCGCTTCATCAGAGGACTTCACTTTGCTCCATTACCCATTGAACACGTTGCCGGCACTTTCCATGGTCTGCTGGTTTGAGCTCCTTAGTTAGATGAATCTTGTATGCATGAAGGTGGAAAATTGGAAGAAATTCGCTGCGTTGAGCTTCGTGAGAAGTTGTTGAGAACAATGCTGAATTAATGTTTTCGGTTTTTCGGCAACACTCTCGTTTACAGCAGCAATTTTTTCAAGAGACTGACCGGTACGTTTACGCAAAAGATTCTTTATAACCATAATCGACCCAGTTTCTTCAAATTTTTAGACCACGCTTCGAATGGTTGACACATTAGGTGCACTTTCTCGACTGAAAATTTGGCGAAATTTGCGAGCAGTTTCCGTTATTAAACATAACCTTTCCTTGGCAGTCAGGTAAAAATAAAACACAAATGAAATACCTACAAATATTAAAGAAGTATTTATTTTACCCAAACCAACACGACAGTATTTGAATATGTAGTAGTAGTAGAGGTGGTAGAAAGGAATGAAGATGGAAGAGAAGGAACTAGCATGATTTCACTTTGAATTCTTACGCTTAAAATGCTAATATAATTTAAGTCTTTCTGTGTGATATTAAGTATTACACACCATAAATTATTTATTTGTATAAGTATGTGTTTCAAACGACCTCGTTTGGAGTCATGACACCCAAGAGTAACTGTGTAAATCGCTCAATCAATGGATTATAAACAAATATTCTTACAGTTTCAAAGAACTCAGCTATGTCTCCGAACCCGTAAGATCGCGCCAAGCCAGTGGCTTCTAGTAGCACTGCCCGGGCTTCGGGTCTATTGTTTTGGAGTAAATGACAACGGGCGAGGAGGAATAGCACATTCAAGAGCCATGCTTGTAGATTGGCCGCTTTGGCTTCTGCGAAGAAACGATAAGGTTGTATAGACATTCGAGTAAATACCGTTGTGTTCGCCAGTATATTTTAAGTATATTATAATCGCATGTACATTAGCATGTTCCTCAGCGATCTAACCGATTTAAACTTTTGCTAATAGCGCACCCTTGGTTCACACCACAGAAATCGTAATATTATTATAATAATAATATAATGTCTTATGATTACGATTTGTATGGTTCATACGTTTGGGAACATTGCTAACTGTGAGATGCCATTTAAAAAAAAACAGACGCTTCCGTGATGAATTTAAACCTTGTCGTTTGGTATTTTATTTGTTGTAAACACCCGTTTCTGAATAAATTAAATTTATCATGATGCAAATTGTTTATTATTTTATAGATACGCCAGCAGTATACATATGCATACAACAGTACACGTATACAGTGAAGCATAGTAAACACCAATATATTGACAAATATTAACCAACATATTTTTAAAGACTGACTGATATTAATCACTTACCATTTTGACACTTGTGGGCGTAATAACGAGCCTTCATAGCTTGCTTAGTCTCAACATGTAATCGAGCTAGCTCGTGCAAAACGTAGCATCTTTCTGACCGTTTGGTGCTCATAGTTAAGGAGCGTTCCAGGTTGCGAATACGAATTCTATAAAGAAAACAAAATTAAAAATATGTCCTTTGAGACACTTTTGTACCTATGAGCAGCAGTTGTAATCCTATGATTAATAGCAAATCGATATTTATTACATTTTTGATGGCCTCTATTAAGAAGAAAAAAAAAAGTAGTCGTAGAAGAAATCATTACTACCCATTATAGTCTTGATTGCTATAGATTTTTGTTTTGTAAAGTGTAAAATACAATAGATTTCACAAGTTACAACAGTACAGAAAGATAAATTACTTAAAATCTCGGGGCGGTGCTGGGGGTCGTACGCGGAGCACAGAGTCACGGCTGGGCACACGAGATATTGGCATACCGAGGAGTATAAATGCCCTGCGTTCGCGATCTGACTCACTCATGCTATCACGGACACGTTTCTGAATATAAAAAAGATACTTTTTATTTCCACATTACTACGTCAAAATATTTGATTTATCATGATTTTAATTAAAATACAAAAAAATATATATTACAAACATACCTGATCTAGAAACGCGTTTGCAACTATGAAATGTAATTCTTGTAAGTATTTATCTTTTCCTGGTAATAAAGAAATCGGTTTTCTGGCAATTTGTTCCATTCCAAATTCAGCGCTTTCCAAACATTTGTTGGTGTCTCGTTCCTCGTAAAAAGCTTGTGCCGTTTGTATGAGGCGGCGAGCGTCGGTAGCGTGTTGAAGTTGCGTGTGCTTCATTTGCATTTTGCGTGCATCCGAGAGCCTCGCTCTAGCAGCAGCCGCGGACGCACGGGCGGCGTACAAAGGTCGACGTTCACGAAGCACCTCCTAATTTATTTATTTATTTGTTTGGGAAAACAAACAATAGTATACAATAGATTTCATATGTATACTCAATACATATGAAATCTTTATAACTAAACTTAACTAATATACTACTACCCACTACATTTTCCACAGATTACCTTATAAAATAATTCCATTGTTAGCAGACATGAGCTGCTGCCGCCGTATTTAAATCAATAAGAAAAGCGGTTACTCAAAACAAAACGTTGGTAACTGAGATAAATAAAGTTTCACTTAAACATACAATAGACAAATCAAAATTAACTTTTATTGCCTACTGCCGATCCTTTTTTAATCCTACTAACATGTAATATATCGATTGCACTAAAATGCTTATTGTATGTGTCAACTAAACGGTAAAGAGGCGAACGCACACCAGAATTCGTTTTACAGCGTCTAGTCGCAAATAGGTGTCTGGTTTGCACCCCCCGCCCATGGACTGTTCGAGGAACCAGGTAGCACAAACAATTCACCAAGTCAGAGCAATCAAATTTATTGCGGCATACACTAAAAAGAGTCATAGAGTCAAGGAGAATACGTCTGGATTCCCATGTCAACATATCGTATTTCTTAAGGAGTTGGGACTGACATAGTCAATTATGGCTCAAAGTCCCTCAAGCATCATTAAAGAATTAAAAAAAAAAGTCGTTTTTGGTACTATATATTTTTACTAAAACATCTATATTGCATAGCACGAAAGTACCTACTTTGGATCAACTCTATAGCATCGTTATATTTTGTATAGTGCGGATTCCAGATAGGTACCTACTGCGTATTCTCATTGTGGCCTGATTATAGATTTATATAAATATACGAAAGTGGAGGGACGGTGAAAGTCGCGAGTTGCCCTCATTACGAAGCCAAACATTCGGTAGGTCTTATTGATAATATTTTCCACATGTGCATCCAGATGAAGTCTTGAGTCAAGATACACACCCAGGTCTCGGAGACACGTAACTTTATTGATGCTGTTGACGCTAATTGATAATAAAAAAGGTAAAAATTTGTCAAACTAACAATAAACTGTTTATGTTTAGACTGTCAATGTGTTGAATGACAAAATTTAATTGTGTTTTGTTTTAGTACAATTTTATTGTAAAATCCCTGCCAAAAAAATATATTGTAAAAAGTTACAATTCTTTCAAAGTGAGGTAATTATACTGTAATAATGATTAAATTGGAACTCAGTGTCGGATTTCATGTTGCACAAAATTATTACTTTGAACCGAGTTTTAGGTAACTCTGAACAGGGATAAAGTTATCAGGAATGTGTAAAATATTGTTTTATTAACTATTGAGGTACTTGTCGTTTCTCCACATCGGCGAGAGCTTTATTTGCCAATTCCTGTAGTTTCTTTGAGCTTTGTTTATTGGCCGATACCAGACGTTCGTCCTTACACAGAGCCGTTAAGAAATATTTGTCATGTGCCATTCGTTCCAAATATTTCGAGGCCATTAAACGGGAGATTTGTTCGGCTTTCTGTTTTTCCGCGCGAGATATCTCCTGAACCTATAATATATATGGTTCGTTTTGTAAACCTTGGTAACACACATAAGGAGGCTTATTTATTTTATTTCAATGGTATACGTAAATCAGACCTAATGTCATGCAGTTGAAAATGAAAACTGAAATAAAAATAATAAATTTAGATGATTTGTTTGCTTAGTAGTTCTTATATCATTAGATATTGATATATTTAACCTGTAATGATTGCTTTGGTTGCATTCGAGGCAAGTGGATTCGTTTGCTGGGAGCATTTTCGTCAATAGATATTTTCTTAATTTCGATATTCCGTACCAAAGCCACAGCTGTTTCCAGCACAGAACTGGCTGTCTTTCCAGCACATTCCCGTACCTAAAATAATTGTTAACAGTTATTTAGGTACACAGCAGTCCTTCACTTATTCAAATATTTTACAGGGCTATTTAATTTAATTGCAATACATTGTACATCAATCACGAACAAGATTTTAGCTCTAACCTAATATTTATGTGAGAAGTTACAATTTCAACATTAAAATAATTTAAAGTGAAAATTTTACATTGTGATATTCTTATTATTGTGATAGTCTTAATTTTTTTTAGATACAAAACCAGCTGTAGTAAGTCTTTATGCTAATTTATTCTCGACACGTTGCCTACACACCATTTGTAAAATGTCCCAATTGTGGTCACTCCTTTATGTCAGCCATTACGATTCTGAGACACATTGCGAGTGAACCTTCATTAAAATTTACAACTCAATTACTACCAGTGTAAACAAAGGGCTAAGTGCAAGCACTTATTTCCGGTGAATCGCTTTAATATCCTCCCAACCGTGCACAGCCGTACGTTGTATCGATTTATGAATGAGTCTGCGTTCACTAGCAGATTATTACTTTTTGATTGATTGATGAGGCTCTATTTGTTTTTGTAACCACACGTACTCTGTCAGTTGTATGAAACATTTTGTAATCTTGTCTTGTAAAAGATAACTAATGCGACTCTGCTCATGTCCTATTTTCAAAATACGTATTTAGAGACAGAATAGAGGCTCGTTAAGGTTGTAAATAAACTTATGGCAACCACTCTCAATCATTTAAGAAGCTTTCGCCTGTGCATTGTTGTCAAATCCTAAGTTTGTAATAAAACGTGCAATGTTGTGAGTCCAATGAAATATTCACCTGCTGTGTTCTGAATTATCGTAAAAAATAAAATATTGAAATATTCAGGGGTTAGTGCACAAATAAATAATAAATATCTGCCTATCCACGTCGGCTGTACTCCCTAGAGGTCTTTGACGCATGTGCCGATTGCCCACTGGTGGTAATATTAGAAAAGAGAGCTTAAAACCATGGCATTGTTGGAATATTACGCTTTATGACCAATCAATTAGTAACTGTGCTGTGCTTTAAGTCTATCGGGTCTATAATTTAATTACTATTATTTAATAAGGGTAAACAATATACTATTGCAATGAAAAGGAGAGTGTACAACACATGCATATTACCAATTCTCACTTATGGATGCCAGACCTGGGTTAACACACAAAAACAAAATCAAAAACTGACCACATGCCAAAGAGCCATGGAGAGGAGTATGCTGGGTTACACAAAAAGAGACAGAAAGAGAGCTATAGATTTAAGGCAAATTACGAAAATCGAAGATGTCTTAGTCAAAACCAAAACACTTAAGTGGAGATGGGTAGGCCACATGATGAGAGAGAATAGGAATAAATGGACGAAAGATATAACAGAATGGACCCTTAGATTCCAAACAAAAAGGAAACGAGGAAGACAAAGAAAACGTTGGTCTGATGACATAAAAAAGGTCCACTGTGGCATAGAATAACTCAAACAAGAGCAGAATGGAAAGAGCTGGAGGAGGCCTTTGTGTCACAAGGACACGCCGACGCCCAATAACTGCGGCATAATAATAATAATAATATTGTATTGGTATAATTACAGTGTTAATATATTTCATTGCATGTTAACACTTAACTATTTGATAATGAATACGTGGAACTATGTTGGCAATAAAGGTTTAATAATAATAAGTGTGAGGACGAACGTCTGGTATCAGCTAGTATTATTGCAAATATTGAATAAATACATTCTGAAAACCCAGTATACATAGGTGCGTGCTCACTTTGCTAGTTTGTACCTCTTATGTGGTCAGAGCGAGAAACCGCTGACGACTTAAAACACAGGTACAGACCTAGTTTGAGGGTCAGAGGCAACCCGCCCCTTACCCCATGTATATTCTTTGATGTAGTTCAAATAGACAATAAGAACTAATTTTGTGAAATAACCTGAATTTATTATTTATTATTATTATATAATTCTAACAAGATAGTTATAAGATAGGTACTTTTATTAAAATATGTTACAGTATCTAGTTCCCTTGGGATATAATTATTTCAGGTCTGTTACTATCTTATATATAGCGATATTTATTTTATAACATATTTCTACGTATTAAATTGTTATTTCAATTTATAGCTTACAAGCAATTAAAAAGATCTAAAATCGTTTACGGTCGCCTTTACTGCTATTGGACGGAAAAGGAAAAAATAATTGCTCAAATACCGTTTCCTCGGCGCATCTGGCACACTCATCAAAATCTGGTGGAACTCTCCTCAATCGTTTACCTCGGTGAGAGAGAACTAACGCCCGCTCGAAGGCACTCTGTTCGTATTCCGTTTGCGCTCTTATTTGTAACGCTTTGCAATTTTGAGGTTCTAATTCTGTAATGTAACATAAGCAATGTAAAAAAAGTGTAGTTTTGGTATGTCTAAGTTCATTTGGTTTAAATAATAAAATAATTTATTTAACCGTACTCTATCTTTAGATTGTAAAACTGCAGATTTCATTCTTATCAAAGTTGATAACTACATATTACATAAATCACAAAAATAGGAAGCAGAGATCTGAAAGTAGGGGGTACTCACTCGTCCCACTGCAAAAGACATAAAAGTACATGGCAGCAGAGTTTCAAAGAAAAGAGATTTACATCCATAACAGAAACGTAATGGTCAAAATATAGACATATTTTTAAATTAAATATCATAGGTACATGCAGGTTTTAATGAGTTTAGCAAATTACTAATAATTAATTACTGTAATTAATAATTACTAATAATTATTTAATTCTGTATAATAAATACTGCCAAACATTTTTTGCAATAATTACTCACTTTGCGCAGTTTTATGTAAAACCTATGTCTAATTGAAATATTAGCTAGGTAGTATTTGTTGTGGTTCTTCTAAAAACAGAACAACCTCTTGGTAAACATTATTGTTTTAAACCATGCACATTCATTCTAGTTTAGAATAAAATAACACTACAGTTTAGTTGTAACATAATAATTGTAAACTAAATGTGGATAAGGATTTATTAGTTGCAGGAATGGAAAACTGTATTTAAATTGACTGTTCTATTAAGACAATAACTACACGATTCACTTTCACGCTTCTAAAGCAAAAATCCTGTCACATAAATCCATAAACGGCAATGAAAAATAAATTGTCTTTAATATGCACTTATGTAACCAGCACATCGAAAACTTTGTTCACTATTTTAAACTAGTGTCGCAACGATATAAAAAGTGATGGATTTTGGGTGACATAAAGGCTCTGCATACATTATAAGTTTTATACCTTTACTTGAGTAAAATTGTGATCAAGGAACGAACAACGTGGTGGTTACTGGATTTTAGTGACAACTTTCGCTACTTGTAATACTATGAACATAGTTTACCTGCTGCATGCGCTGCATCTTCCAAAGCACCTTTATAGTGTGTAGCTTTTATTCGCGCTAAGCTACGACCAAGCAAAGAGCGGACGTCTGAACTCTGAAAATAAATTTATTATTTTAGATACTAGATAACAACTGAATAGTTATGAGCACCGTTTTTCTTGATAGGTTTCAATTCGAAAAACATTAAATATAGGAAAATATAAAAAAGGGTTGCGAGAAACCAATAAAGACTTAAGTCGCAATATCTGTATATAGAACGCGTGTCCGGATTCGCGGGCAAAAGCTAGTAAATAATAAGGGGGGGATATGTTGAGTTCTAAATAATTAAAAGGCACACATTATTTTTTGTATTATTTTCTTGAATAAACACTCACATAATATAAACCATGGACTTTATATTGTTACTTACATTCCATCGTAGAGCTTCATTGTAAGCAAGAATAGCCTTCTCGAATTGTTCCAATCTCTGCAAGTAATTGCTGAGGGAAATAGAAAAGTTGAGGCCATGTTTTTTTTATAATCTCAAAAAAGAATAAGCGAGAGATGTGATTATATAACAGGATATCATGGCAGCATTCAATAACCAGTTTAACATGTAAAAATAGTTTCTTTATAAAAAGCTCTCATTAAAGACCTCACTTATCTTGCTCTTATAACAAATTTATCGCAAGGTTTAATATTTCATGGTTATACAAAAAGATAAATTGTTGTACTTACTTTTAAAAAATTAAATGAACTGCCTTAGTCAGTACTGGAGAAGCTCATTGTACGCGCACTTCACTAAGTGCGTATTAAATATATGTTCGATAACAACAACAAAGTACACGACAACTATACTCATATTTAGAGATGCCACTTGTAATTTGGAGGTTGCGTGCATAATCAGGGAGGATGATATAAACTAACAATTTAGCAGACAATTAAAGTTATCTGTATGAAGAAAAAATTGTAAACACATTAATCTGAGGTACTTATAAGTCATTGCAAACTTTACAGGGTTCAAGTTTCATTCCATTTTTTTTTATTAGTTCTATGCTATTACTGCGTGGCGTACCTACTCAAGAAGAGGCCTATACCCAACAATGGGGAACTAAAGGCTGAAGAAAATTAAATTAAATGTAATGAATGTGCCAATGAAAAATTCGGTCTAGTAGGTACGGAAAATACCTATAAAGTTGACTGACCTCAAATCTATTTTAAAACTCACCCTCTCTCGCGAAACACATTCACAGCATTACATATGGGTCTCTCCTCTAGCGTATATTTCTTCATCTTCCTCGAAATCCTTTCGTGTTTAAAAATTATTCAACTGTATATACCCGTGTTCGTTACTATGTATGCAAACATTAATCTAGGTGACTCCGATTCTATGAAATTTTTCAAATAAACAAAAGTTATACCTCTCTTTATGTATACACATTAAGCACAATAAATATGCCTATGCGTGCAAAATTCATACTAATATTATATATGTGGAAGTAGCTCTATCTATCTCCCTTTTACGCTTTCCCGGATAAATTGCTGAACCGATAGTAATGACATTTGGCATGGAGCTACTTTTATGAAGGAGGACGGACTTGGCTTCTTTTTATCTTCACGTGATGATAGTTACGTACATACGTGTAGAGAAATTGGGTTTCAAATCATTAAAAACATAACATATTCAGTTAAAAAAAATATATGCGGTAAACACATGACCCGCTTGTTATAAATTGGTTTACGTAGAGCCATAAACATGCGCAACACCGTTCATTACCAGTTGCTAACCCTATGCCCATTTATTTTTCGACCCGCAATTAATCCAGGTGACGTATTTGTCACATATTTATAGCTTTAATAAATTTTAAATAACATAAAAGTAGCTTTTTAAGAACCATTTTAGTTTACAATCAAGTGTTTTAACACTATAACAAAAAAAATATTTGCTTAAATCTCCGATTATAAATGAGATACGCAATTCATATTACGCTTACACCATTAATAGCTTTTAAAAACTAAAATAGATTGAATGATAGGAAAGACGGGTACAAAGAGAATTCTTTAGATCAATAGGCTCCTCGTGTTTGAGTAATATCAATTGTCGTGAAGTACGATACATTATTCGGCAGCGAAAACTACTAAAAGTAAACACTTGGCTAAGAGGAAATATTTGCGTGCTCAACATTCATAACAATTATTAATTTTCCTGTCAGTTAGTGAAGTAGAATCTGATAGAACCGTACTTGTTGAAAAGTTTTTGCTCTCATAAAAATATCATACACTTTATTTTTTCCTACTTATGGTATAAGCTGTAAAACAATGTAAATATATTTAAAAAAGTATCACCGACTTCAATCATCCTACAGTACGATGAATCATGATAAACTGTAAATTTCATCCCTTATTTTTCTACCATTTGGAGTGATTCTTTTTTCTATTAATGGGACTAAATGGGACTAAAGAGTACATTTTTTTTTTGTCTGTGCGTAATCCCCTCGGATACCACCCACCGGTGGTTATGTCAAACATGAACCGACCATAAACCGCTCGCCGTCTCGGGTACCAGTAGCCGGGGAACCAGGTGTACCCTGGAAGGAAGGAAGGAAATCCCTGGAACCCCGATGTATCCCGGGCCATCTACGGCCTGTAGATGACCTAAAGGGGGCGCGCAGTCCACAGCGCGTCGCGCCGCCACCCAGCCTGCTTCTACTAGGGTGACAGAGGGCCTCACCTGTCAACCCCAGGCCTGCGCTTATGGAGGACAGAGGTCGTTCTGAGTTACCTGCGGTACCTGGCCCGTTCCCGGGCCTGACGGACTGGGAGAGTTCTAAATCTCTCTCTTGGTCCCACTCCGCCGTCTCCTTCGCAAGCGTAACTTGCTCACAGAAGGAGACGGTGGAGCTCCAAGTGCTCTCACTCTGTAGCATGGCCGCAATCAGAGTTCTAAGCGAAAGAATTCCCACTCCCACAAAAAATGACGCTGTTCTGAGGTAACAAACAAAGCTTAACTCAATTTGGAACCTCTTTTTTTTTTAAGTCGGTCAAAGAATTGGCTCCCGATATATTTTCGAAAGTTACATCTTTTTAGAGAGAGATATAATTGCAGTCATTATCTTTTATTTTTCCTATTCTGTGTTCTAAAGAATATTAAAATCTACGAAATCATTGAAGTGAAGCTTTATATGAACCTAATAAAGTCATTAGAGCAGATGATAAATACTAAACACGTGCAAATTGTATTGCGATAAACTAATCGTCCAAAATAAATTCTAAAATCATACATAGATAGATTTACGTATATCGATGCAAAGCCACGTATTATGCTGATACAAAATATTAACATTGTCCATCTCTAACCATTGTCTTGGTATCTTACCAACTTTTCCTATTCCAATGAACTCCTAATTTTCCCAATTCGTAAAATGCCCCAATCGACGGTGAAAGGCTTGCTCCTATCACGTGTGAGATTAAAATGGTGAAATGTGGGCGTTTAACATGCCTTTGCTTACCCCCTTGAGATTATCGGCATGAGTGTATTTATAATTATATATTATTGTTAGCGTCATCAACTGCAAGTCCACTGCTGGAAATGGGCCTCTCCTTGAAAAGGAGGAGTTGCCCTACTATACTACGCTGGCCAGACAAGTTGGTATGGAGTTTGTTTCAAGTTTTCCTTCTCTTTGTAGTGCTACTGTCCTGCAATACGTAACGTACGTGCTAATTTCGTACATACTATAATATATGAATGTCTAAACAAAAATGAATAGTCACTTGAAAATCTAGACGTTAATAATCCTTATGTCTTGATTTACCTAAAGGCCAGACTTAACTAAAATACTCGTATTATTACGTTTTTTTTGGAAATTAGCATAAGTTAATTTTTCACTCCGTATTTTCTTTAAAAGCCAATGAAACCATAAGCCCAAGCCTAGCAGTAAATCTAATTTAAATACTTGTTTCCTTAGTAGGGTAAGTATTATCTCTCTAAAAGGAGATTCGAAAATCCAATAAGTGTTTATTTTTTTAAACCAGAGACAAAGTCTACAGTTCTGGTATCTTATTCCGCTTGTTTTACATTGCTATTAGGGATTCCGTTACAATTATTGTAAGTATACACAGAATCGGAAGAATATTTTTTAACCAATATTTTCTAGTCCGGCGTTCCTATGATACAATCTTTAACTATCTATCTCGCTAGTTCGAGTGCTACCAGCTAACGAGATTGATACTTTAGCTTGACTTTATATGTGCTAACTCACTACAATTTAGACGCTTGTTTGCCGCTCTAGTTGTAGAAAATAAAATTTATCTGCCAATCAACATTTTAACATAATCAGGAGTATAAGCAAAAAATAATCATATGCATAATTGGAAAGAAGAATGTAAAATTATAGGCGAAATTGAATATAATAATTTTATTAAATATCAAATTATTTGATAATTTCAAAATGAAATTAATAATCGCATCATAATTTATCAATTCAGTTCTCTTATTTTTAAATTTGCTAAAAAATCATTGTAATAAAGCAGTTGTCATAAACACCCTCCAATAGCAATCATAATAGTTTACGCTTGAGTAGGAGAATATCTCGTGTACATAGAGTTACTTGTTCGTACTTTTTTTGCGTTATTAATTCTAAATATATTTTTCTTATTTCCTAATTCATTTATCAAATGATACGGTTTTATTCAATTTCTTTGTGTAATCTCCACATTTGAAGTCTGAGAAATTGCTATTTGAATATAAATTGGACCAAAATTTTATGACGAGTATTTTTTATCGAAAATTTTGACGAATATTTTGAGGAAAGTAAAAAGACTTTTATGTAACTTTATATATTTTGTTTCCCAGTCCATCTTTATAGCACTTGTAAATTATATCAAATTAGGCCTGTTTTCATAAACTCATTTGCATTGCGGGAACTCTAGGCTCCTGCGCATAATTTAATCCGGAGTTAGATTTCACTCATTTACTACTAGGACCTCCTATACCTCCTATAATATAATAGATATATAAAATCTGAACACTTAGATAGGCAGGTAATGTCATCAATTATATTAATGGTACGAAAATATTTAAATGTTAATTTCTTTGTAAATGCAATTAAATTAATCCTTACATACACTAAAAAAGATAGCTATATTCAAAGTTTCCGTGTGGTGACGTTGGTGACGATTAAGAATTCAGAGTGTCACCCACCTATTCATCCCGTGGGTGTCGTAAGAGCCGACTAAGCGAGCAAACTACACAGGACAAACAGCAAGCCAAAGAGAAGGAAAACTTGAAATAAACCCTATACCAACCTGTCTGGCCAGTGTAGTTCCAGTGGGCCAAAACCTCCTTTCTAAGAAAAGGCCTATATCCAGAAGTGGACTATCAGATGCTGTTGAAGATCATAATTTATAATAAACCTGAGACAGCTCACATATCGCCGTTTGATTTTAAACTTCGATACAACTTAACCAAGATGCAAAAGTTGTTCTCAACACGCAATTATTTCTTCTTGGTGAGAATCGAAACCGCAGTCAGTGGCTCAGCAGCACTTAGCAGTTACTATCCATAAAAATATCAGGCTTGCCATAACTTTTGTTACCGCTTAATTCGGTTTTAACACAAAAATGTACAAACCAAAATCCCCCTAAAAGTGTATGTATCAATATAATGTAACAATAATACGCAGTTGTATCACCTTATTACGTTTACTTAGGTTACAGCGGCCCTGTACCACGATGACATATTACCCACTTTGAGGTATTTTGTAACACATAAATTTTCAAAGTAACTTTTCAGTACATAACCCATCTGGGTATTGTTATCAGGTAGCATGCGATTATTGGTTTGATAAATGTATGTCGGCTATTGCATCATCAACTTTGTGTTTCAGTTTCCTTAAAATATATCGTTGTTTATCAGCAACTAACTAAAAATCGATGGTCCTTTTTTGGGATGACATTTTTGGTTGATGTTTTCCCGCTACTGTTACCAACAGCAATCTTGCTGTACCACTAAGTTCCATGACAATATTTGTTCACAAAACGCTCTAGATTTCTCACAAAAGGCATTGAACGATTTTCACGAGTTAGATAAAGGATTCCTAGTATTTCCAGGTATCAATGAGACCATTGATCGCTATGCAAGCATTAACATAATTGTTAAAATGTTAATGTATAAATAGTTTTTTATTAAATTTATAAATATTATTTATCACGAATGACAAATAAAAAGCAATTACGCTATCTGTTTAATTTACTGTTTCCTCGTCCTCTTATCTTCTAAGTTACGACCAATTTCG